TTGTTTTACAAAACTGAAATTCCCCAGTGTGGGACAAGTAAAGGTTCTCTTATCAGTTAGCCTCATAGCATAACTGCCTAAGTCATTTTTCAAGTTTTTCGGGAAGATACAAAAAAATAACAAACAAATAAAATACAAAAATAAGATGACTGGGGCAGATTGTGTTTATTTGGCTGTAATTTGTTTCTCATATCTAGGTGCATTAGGGTCCGTTACATCCTTGTCTCCATAAAGATGTTGCTGCTTTGTCCAAAACGCTCCACGGTATTGCATTAAACATATCTATCTCCATGGAGACAAAAAATTGAAAGAAAAAAATCTGATGACACACCCAGAAAGGTTACGCAACGCACCTTTACGGCTTTCTTATGAACATTTTTAACCTGGTCACAGTGCTGGACTCAACACCCCGCACCCGATATTACGACTCCACAACTTTAGCGTGACTCGAGAAAAACGCAGTATAAAAGATGAAAGCCCTTACATATCTCCTGGACATTGTTTTGCAAAACTGAAATTCCCCAGTGTGGGACAAGTAAAGGCTCTCTTATCAGCTCGCCTCATAGCATAACAGCCTGAGTCATTTTTCAAGGTTTTCGGGAGAATACAAAAATACAAAAATAAGATGACTGGGGCAGTTTGTGTTTATTTAGCTATAATTTTTTTTCTCACTGGACAAGGATAGATGCAGTTATACTTACAGATACAGCAGGCTCTGGAGAGTACAAAAAAGTCAGTTTGGCAAAAATGTAATAAAAATGTTATGAGACTGGCGTTATCTTAAGTATTCTAAACTTATCTCATTGGCTCCAGTCTGTATGTGTGAGGAATATTTGCCTATAACTGATTTCACATTAAAGGGCCCGTACTACACTATATAATCTTCTTTCCTCATCAAAAACATACCTGGAGTTGTGTTTTGTTTCATTCCCACACGTTTAACACACAAACTCTGCATATTTAAGCTCAGTTCTTCTCTCAAACTGAAAAGGCTCTGTTCATCCTAGTGATTTACTGTGTTTTTAAACTCCATACACCATTCACTAAAATCATTTGGACAATATCAACCCTGGAATTGCTTATCTCTTCTGAACTAAAGGTAAAAGGTAGCTGTTAACTTGAAAACTCCCACTTCATCATCACATCACAAGGTTTTTGGAACAGAGCATTTTGAGCTTTGAGGATTACTCCAACATGTGTGAATGAAACAAAACACAACTCCAGGTACACTACCAGCCAAAAGTTTTAAAACATCCAAATTTTTCCAGTTATTTATTGAAAATGAAGTCGTGCAAGTCCAATGAAGAGCTTGAAATGGTACAAAGGAAAGAACTGAACAGCTAGAGGTTAAAAAAAAAGATAAAAGATACAAAACACAAGTCCAAGCTCTGCCAAAACTACCTCAGGAAAAAAGAACAAGATGGTGAGTTTGAAAACATGGAGTGTCCAGCACAGTCTCCAGACTTTAAACCCCATCGAGCTGGTTTGGGATGAACTGGACAGAAGAGTGAAAGCCAAGCAACCTACAAGTGTCACACATTTACGGAAACTTCCGCAACAGACCTGGGAAGAACTTTCTGAAGAATATTTAATTTCTATTGTAGAAAGAACGAGCCACGAGTGTGTTCAGCTGTTATATCTGCCAAACATGAACACTTTCATGAATCAAAAGTTTAGAATACGTTTTGGTCAACAGTAAACAGTAAAAAACTGGAAAATGTGCGGTGTTCTAAAGCTTTTGACCAGTAGTGTATGTTTTTGATGAGGTAACATCATTCTAACATGACTTAAAGTTCATAAGAGTTAATCTTGTGTAATATAGGACCTTTAACAATTCTGTAATATTTTTTCACAGGTGCTATTACTTACTTCTCTTTAAGATTTTATGATCCATCTGTTCATGTGCGGTACAGAGGATAGATTGTGAAGCCCCATATGCAGTTTGTATGTGTAAGTTTATGAGGCATTGTATTGGAGCCCTGTAGAGTCCTGTTAAAACACCAGGTGAGTCATGAGCAGGTGGGCTTCAGGTTTACAGGTGTGTTAAAGGTCTGGCAGGTGCAGTGGGCGGGTGCTGTGGAGCCCTGTTAACGGAGACTTAAGTGGTGGTCAGCAACTAAAGATGTTTTATGACAAAGTTCCACAATGAGACAATTGGCAGACACTCAGAATTAGGGCCATGCAAGCTGATAGTTGTTGATATTAAAGACATGTGTAGGTCCAGGAGTCAGAAGTAAACATAGTAGCAGGTCTTGATGATTTTAGTTGGCAAAATTTTAACTCAGCAGAGCAAATCCTCAATGACAGGGTTACTTAGTGAGCCTATGATCAGATCTAGGCAATTCAAGGCATTTCATTTGGCTGTTTTGGGGTGGTGATATTTGTAAATTGTATTCAGTTCAAATTTGCACTGAAAGTAGTTGGAAGGGAGTCTATCCCCCATAGAAGTACAAACAGCAGAAAATAAAAGTATTGAAAACCTTGGACATTTGTAGCCAGGCGGGCACCACCTAGTGTCTCCACTCAACTTCATTTCTTTTCAGCGACTAGGTCAGGAATCGGAATAGACTAGATGGTCTGCAAGAACCCCGGAAGTGCCAATCAGCGAAGAGCCATACATTCTGTGTTGGCAATGATTCCCGAGATCGAGAATTTAAAGCCAGAAAAAAGAGAATGTTTGGTGAATTTTATCAAGGGGAAAGGCGTTATTGCCCTTCCTCCTACAGGATTTTGGAAAAGCTTAATATACCAGTTAGCCCTGTTAGCGCCGCATTACATTATACGACCAAATAGCAGCGATGGGTTAAATAAAAAAAAGTACCTGCCTACCTTCGAGCAAACGAATTCGAATGCTGTGAGGTCAGACAGTTTCCACGAAGTGAAACCAGCTGATGAATCAGGCTAGGACATTTGCAAATACTCAACAAATCTCAACTCTTAAAGCTGGGTACCCAAATTTTATTTTTTGAAAATGAATAAATTCTGTGTTATCCCCATTCCCAAAAGAGTATATTCTAAAATACTGTCTGTAACTAATAATAATGTATTTAATTTCTTGTAAATCAGGAGGTAAATGCTGAAAGCAGCTCTCTGATTGGCTACAGTTGTGCGGTCCATCTCATTATCACTTTGCCACCAAAAGCAAAAATATTAACAATGTGCAAAGCTACAGAAGAGTGGAAATCAGAATTACAATATACAGAAGATTCAAGCTGGAAGATTACCCCTGATGTTTGGCCATTGGTTTACTAGAAAATATTAAGCCCAATAACACACCAACATTTTGATTGACTGATCGATTGCATTTATATAGCGCCTTTCAAGATACCCAAAGTGCTTTACAGTTCATTACTCAGTCACTCCACACTCAGTGGTGGTAAGCTACTATTGTAGCCACAGCTGCCCTGGCGCAGATCGACGAAAGCAAGACTGCCAATCTGCGCCATCGGCCCCTCCAACCACCACCAACACTCACGTACACACCACTTTCATACTAGACAATGTGGGTGAAGTGTCTTGCCTAAGGACACAATGACAGTTTTTGCCACTGGCGCCCCACTGTGGCACCTGGAATTCCTAGCGGTCTCCCATCCAAGTACCACCCAGGCCAAGCCTGCTTAGCTTCTGAGATCTGTGTCTATGTCTCTCTTACCCCCTGTGTGACTCTGGTGGTGCTGTCCCTCCGACTCTGCTCCTGGGATCTGGACTGTGGCCGTGTGTTACTGTGTCCAGGGTGTGAGCTCCGGAGCGCCCCCTGCGGCAGCTGGGGGGTATAGGTCACTCTGTAATTGTGCACAGGCAGGTCCCCTTCTCTCGGAACATCCCAGCGTAGAAGTACCTCCACCGCGGCCACGCTGCCTCTGCTACAAACACACAACATGACAAAATGTACAGTCACAAAAGAGCCTCACTGGTTCAGATATATTCACTGTAATCAGTAGGTTTTGTTGTAGCATTTAAAGTATGTATCTAATTTTTCCCATGTATTTGAGCAAAATTTGTCAGTGTATAAGCCGCTCTTCAAGGTTCAAGGTTCTTTATTTGTCATTCAAACATGCACAAGAAAGAAGGATGTTTGGAATGCACAAGGTAAGTGCGGAATACCTTTGGAACACTGCGAAAAGCTGAAAATGATCAAATCTGTTTTTCTCGTTTTTAACACAGTAAAAATCAGGTACAGCGGCTTTAAGGTGGTACAAAGTCAAGATGGAGGGGAAATATTTTTATCGCTCATTATAGGGCCCATAAAAATGTAATTAATCCTGTCAAAAACAAATTATATTATATTGTGCATAATATTGCTTGTGTGACGGAAATTAGCCGACTGATTTCACATGAACAGTTCTGAGTCACAGGTGTTAGAATGCAATTAGTGAAGCTCCTTAACTTTTTATGATCCACCTGCTCCTCCGCTGTGGACACACAGATGTACAAACAAGGCTCACCCCTTCAAACATGTGAACACAGACTTCACTTCATGAGTTTCAGACAGAAGGATTCCTTCCTGATTTGAAGCTATAGCGATGGTGGATAGTTATAGCAACAACAAAATTCAATATTATATCTTTTGAATGGTGAAAGGTCCTCACAAAATCATCATTTGCCTGAAACCCATGAATAGCCAGTTCAGTTGTAAGATTTAAAGGTGCACTGTGTAACTTTTCGATGGGAGATCCGTCACCTGCTTGGTTAACTTACTGTATATTTATTCAACTACACGTGGTTTTATAGTTCAAAAATACCTTGAAAAACAGGCATTCTGACTGTGAGCAGGGTCATCTTTCCGCAGATATGACCTGTAAGGGCGCACTCACACTGGAACTTTAGAACCGTTCCGTGCTCAAGCACAATTGGGTAGGGTTTGATGGGTTGCACTCACGCTTGCACAACCGAATCGAGCCACAGCATGATGACTTCATCACACGGCGCTGTTGGTTTTATATGTCGCGCAGCAGAGCTAACGCTTTAGTGGAGAAAATACCTCCAGTGGCATGAAATATCTATTTAATAGTAAGACAGATATGAATCCTGCTGCCTCCTCTGTGAGTTTATGCACATAAAAACACCGTGGAGGAGTGAGGACAGCTGGAAGAGAGAGGCTGTACAGTTTTGTCACGTCCACAGTCCTTATTGAAGGTAAGCACAGATTCATTGTGTGTTTTAGAGCCGACTTTATTCACTGTTTTCCTCATATGAGAAACATCAGCGTACCTGACAGAGCTCCTATAGTAAAGTCGTGTGTGTGCGCATACATGTGCAATTGGGCCATGCATTAGCCCACCACCTCCAACCAGATCAAAGGCTCTCCGTGCTTGGGCACAGTTCGGTTGAGTTAATGTGAGTGCATCCTAACTTGGTCTGGTTTGGTCTCCATGAAGACCATACTATGAAACATTCCAGACAAAGCAATAACATCTCCATGGAGGAAAGAGTTTAATGGACCCTTCATCAGAAAAGTTACACAATGCAGCTTTAAACAGTCTTTTCTTTATAAAGTGAAAGTAGTGAACTCTAGCTACATTTTTAACAACAGGTAAATGCACAAAATCACATGAACAGAACCTTTAGCTGCACAATGTCAATTTTGGAGTTTTTATTTGTCAACTGTTTTCAATTAAGTAAACGTAGTGTTGGTGGTTGGGACATTTTATCAGCATGTTAGAGCAGCTTCCATCATGAGCTCACCTCTGTCATTAAACTTTTATAAGAATGTAACTGGTGATCCCAGAAAAGACGAACTTACAGTGAACTCAGCTATCAGGAAAACAAGAAAACTCAGGAAGGTTCATGGGAGAAGCCAACAGGAGCAGTGTAGGCTACAGGCTGGAATATTTAGAGCACTATGGATTCTGACTAGGAATGGGAAGTATTTGAGTTTTAATTGAGGTTGAGATTCAGTCTAATGTCTATGATCACCTTGGGTTGTTTTAAAAGGGCCCATATTACACTGTTTTCTGAATTTTGAGATGTAGACAGGCTAATAATAAAGGGTTACTCAAGCACGCATGAATGAAACAAAACACAGGTATGTTTTTGAAGAAGTAATAATATTATAACATAGCGCAATGTGAAAATATGACCATTTACCATGAATATTTTGAACAACCAGTATTTTGTTTGGTGTAATTTCTAATAAATTTTAGACTTGGAACTTGGAACTTTGGAAAATACTGACTCTCTGGTGAACTCTAAAATGTAATGTAGGCAAAACTACAAATACAGATCAGCATTTTCCCCGGAATATATTAAGCCAGTACTTTTATTTATTTCTACTTGGTTTGTGTTATTTTAATCACAACAAAACTCAAGCTAAAACTTAGCAACAGCAGAAGTTCATGGTTGATTCTAGTGAATTTATGAGTTAATAAATATTGTAAGAATTCATCTTTCTGTACTACACAAGTCCACAAGCTGAGTATCCATTTCTGTGCTTACCTCTCTGTGAACTGTGAAAGAGCTGGAGAGCTGCTCCACTCCAGAGTCTGGTTCTCCACTCGGATGTTCTGAGGAGGTTCAGGAGGAGACGGGTCTAGAAGAAGATGGGAGAAACATGTATCAGGGAATAAGATTACAAATAAAGCGCACAGCAGGTATATCTGAAGCATCTTCTTAGCATTTAGAGCACACTATAAACTCATCATTGGGTCGTAGTGTCCTTTGTTTCACTGATTCTGATTATTGATACTGATTTGTTAGACAGATGTTGACAGATGTAACCAAGAAACTGAGAAGAAACTCTGCTGAATCAGCTACATAAAATTGTCCTGTTTTTTAATTCAAAATCTTTACTTTACTGTAAAAATATGCTAAACTTTGTTTGATACAATGATTTCTGTCCTGATATTTTTGCTTTGTTCTGGCACTATGAAACTTTTCTGATGTCTGCCACATGTTCCTGTTCATAATTGTTTTAGTTTTTTGTCTGAAATATTCCACAGTATGGTATGGAATTTACCCATCTCCATGGACACAAGCAGGTGATAGCACAAGTCCAAGGTCACAGATCAAATCTATGGAATGTAAGAATACATTTTCATAATATTTTAGCACTAACAACAACTGTAATAAAATAAAATTTAATAACTGAATGCCTCTGGAAGATTCTAGGTAAAACAATAACATGTCCATGGCGTCGGACACTCCATCAGAAAAGTTGCACAGTTTTTAAATACAACAAAACAAGGTTGTCCATACAACTGTAGTACTGTCCAGACGTACAATAGTGAACTTTCAAAATATTGCATTGACACGAGTCACCACACCTTTAATAAGGCTTAAAACATTTATGTTAAGTCCGTATGACATCAAAATGTTTTTGTTATTTAAGTTAAAACAGCGGAATTCACAACATTGCAATGAAAAGAACTACTTTTGGTCATTTGGGCCAAGTCAGGAGGAAACTTGAGCACCAACAAAAATTGGTCTGAGGCCCACATTAGGCCCCTGGGCCATAGTTTTGCCTGAGATAAAATAAAGCAAAATATGCAGCCATGTAGTTTTTGTTGTCTTTTCAAATTATCTTGTGATTTTAAGAATTTCAAACAACATAAACTTACTTTTAACACTGACCGGGCCTTCAGACTGTGCGGCTGCCCACGAGCTTAACCTAATTCTCTAATAACCTGCTGCTTAATGTGCTGCAGTCAAAGAAAATAGAAGAAGCTTGTTCCTGTTCTGAAGAAAAGGCTAATTTCCTTTTACCCTTGTTCAGGTCCAGCACGACAATTCAATTTAGATCTTCAAAAGGTGAGTGATACAGGAGACACAGAGGGTCTCTGCTCAGTAGCTAGGAGACCACCACCACAACTCTCTCCATAGGTCCGACCCTACTGCTGTGTTCAATTAGAGGTTCTGTATTGGATTAAAACTACAAAATGTATCTGATTAGAACTACATTCCCCATGAGGCCCCAGGCAGTCCGGAGATCAAAGTTAGAGCAGTTTTATCGACTCTAAGGCTCGTCCGTCTGTCTGTGTGGTATGTCTCGTACCACAGCACTGTCTCACTGCTGTAATGACTTTAAAGACGTGCTCTGGGTTTGAGGTAAAGTTGTACGTGGTAGTAAATAGTTAGTGCAGTACTTTAGATAACATCACTGCAGAGCGCTGGCTGGAGTTAAAAGAAGGCAACTTAAGTTATGTGGACAGGTATTCATCACACTGACTGGAATCTACAATCATATATTCACAGTCACTTCATAGAGACTTTGTGTTTGTGGCGTCCAAAAATGTGTTGCCCATAAAGAAAATCAGGTTTAAAGTTATGATGGGTTCAGGGTTTAGGTTAAAGCAACACTGTGCATCTTTCTAAAGGTGGCACATAAATAGTTAATAGTTAAAACTTAAAGCCATAACCATTCTCCAAGGAGATCGATACATAAGGACAACTTTCCCATGGAGATAAGAAGGATGAGGGTCTTGTCTGCACTAAATACGAGTCAGGTCTGTGGAGATCCAAGCCGGCTCAGAGAAAGAACTAATGTTTTCTTATATTTTTCATGAATACAAAAAACATGCTTTTATTTTAGTCTGTTCTTCATAATGGTTAGCATTTAAATTCAGGTTAAGCAAGTTATAATTATGGTTAAGTCTCCAGGAAATGAATGTAAGTCAATATAATTCCCCCAAAGACATGGAAACCCAACATGTGTTTGTTAACACAAAATATAATTTGTGGTTTGTCAGTTTCCAAATGTTTAAAATATTCACACTTAAAAAAATAAAAATAAATTTCCTTTTCGCAACTCAAAACGCAATGTTTAATCTTGTGCTGTCATTAACTTTTCCAGTCCAACTAAAATGCATCTCAGCACTGAAGGAAGCATAGTCCAGTGAGGATCAGTTGGTCTTCTGATATATTATGTTATTAGGTTCTTTTTTCAGATTAAGAGTTTGTTTTCATACCTGACACTTTCAACTGCTCACTAGCGGTCTTCCTCAGAGTGATCATGTAAAGTTGTCCAGTCAGCTGATATCTACAGGTTTTGGCGCTGTCTCCTCAGGACAGTATCCTTAGTGTATCACACACCTGTCCTGAGGAAGACCAAATGAACCTCCTTGGACTATTACGCTCAAGTCATGGACAACAATGTGTCAAGGAATTCCAGAAATTAGAACAACTGAAATCAAAAAGGGCACGTTTCCATAACCATCTCCAGATTAAAGAGGTAATCGAAATACGGGAACATGTCCACAGGACTATAAACCATGACTGATAAGGTTTTTTTTTTTACTCTCACACACCTGAGATACTGTCCTGAAGAAGTCGGACTGCAGATGGTGCTCCACCGGTGGAAAGACAGCACCAAAACCTGTTTTTATTAACTGACCGGACACATCACAGCAACATCATGTGACTACTCTGAGGAAGATCACTAGCAGTCTGAACTGTCAGGTATGAAAACAATCTCTTGGTCTGAAAAAAGAACCTAATAACATACTGAAGAAAGCATTTGTCCCCACATATTTAGCACTGCTTCATTCCTCAGTGCACCAGCAGGGGGTGTACTGTTGAGTCCTGTGTAAAGACATAGTTTTCCACACATTCCTCCCCAAAGCCACAGCTGGTGTTCACTTTGAAGAGCTCATTTAAAGACGACAGGTTTCCTCACAATCAAACGCTCTCTCTAGTTAGCATCAGGTCGCAGCACAGAGCATGAACTACAGCTCCCCCGACATGTGCCAGCTTCCTGATTTGTGACCCCATGACCTTTCACCCCTGACTAATCAGTGTAATGAAGGGGAAACATAAGATGCATGACCCCGTCTGATGGTATTCGAAGTGCGTAGCTTTAAACTTTGACCTCAGTCCTCTGTGTACACAAGCAGTCACACCAGCCAGGCTCAGAGCGCCTGGATGTTTACATATATGCTTTTGTCTAACTGTACTTACAGCTCTACCTACTACCAATAAACACCAAATCTGCATCGCCACACAAGTTTACCCTATTTGTGACAAAAATTATAACTTCAAAACTGGGACACAATTGTGTTGGGACAGTTGGTATAAATAAAATTGTAAAAGAAGAGTCTAACATTGGGGATTCTTGCGTCAGTCATGATCTGAGGGATTTCTTTCACTGCATTTGTTTGCTTTATTGTCATTTCCAAACACAGTTTTCTGCCTTTTGACTAAACAAATGACTCCTCTTTACTGTTGGTGAGGATCTGATTAATCAAAAAATTGTGATAGTTCTGTTTTAGTCTTAGTTTAGTCCTGGTTTAAACCTGGTTTAGATTAAATTGGTCAAAAATAGGGACACCTGCGGCATTTCTTGTACAAAACTGGGACAAATCAGTGGTTTTGGATAGATCTGCTGGGACAGGGGACACAGGACTCAAAACTGGGACTGTCCCAGGTAAACAGGGACATCTGGTCATTCTAGTCACATGTTTACTAGTATACACTGCACTTGTTTACCTTACACTTAAAGCACTTAAGATAAAGGAACTACTCACCCACACACCAACACACACACACACACACACATTCAGACACCAGTGTCCACAGACACTGTGGGCAAGGCCTTGACTGCTGGACCCAACGACAGGGTTCATCTGTGGGAATTGGAATCACAAGTCAACCTGTGGGGCAGTGGATGTGACTGCTCTACAAACCAAGCTACTGCCTATATATGTCTTGATATTTTTGGTTTATCTCACTGACAATATTTTAAACAATATTATCACCATCAGATCCATCAAAAATGTGCTTAAAGAGAGGGTGTTACGCAGACTTGACTTTTTTGAGCTTTCTACCATGTTATAATATTATATAACAGAAGAGGTTTTAAACTGTATGTCATCCATGTATGTTTACGTAATCACCTGTCTTTTTTTGGCAAATACCTCTGTTTTTATCTTTTTTTTTTCTTTTTATGATGGATTTCCGCACGGTCACCAGACATGAACCAAACATGTTTATGGAATCAGATTTGTTTATTCCAGTGACACAGTAGCTGATTGGTCACCCACATTTACAAACAACATCACATTTTAACATCACATAGTTCAGTGCTTCGCACATTGATTCCACAAAGAACTGAGATGTTTTTCAGCCCCCTGTGAATTTTTTATTTTAATTTTATTTGATTTCTTTTTTCCTCGTAAGCAGCCATGTTTGTTTTGATACCATGTACAGTATGTCTTGGATTGGCTATATATCTTTCATTAATTCATTACAGTTATTTTTAATGCCTTCAAAAACAAGCATTCTTACTGTGAGCAGGTTCTCCTCTCAACAGATCTGACTTGCAACGCCATATTAAGGAACATTACCAAAGCAATAGTATCTGTAAGGACGCATCTGAATGTGGTTACTTTGAAGTTTTGCAAGTCAGCTATGTTTTGTACATTCTTAAATTCTCTTAAAGTACATTTCATTTATGCCGTGTCAATGTACAGACAATCCACAGACTATCTATCAGTATCCACTGCATATGCAACTATTCCCAAAGGTTTCTTAAATGTCTGAGGAATCCAACCATTTTGAAATTCTTGACAGCAGTGGAAAACGTCATCACAGACACCTCTTATAATCTCCCGTATGAGCAGAACTGATAAGGTTTAAGTGTGTTTGTGCTTTTCCATCACTGGCTCCAGCCCCAGTCTTCACATCTAAACATGATGTATGCTCTCTGGCACTATTCTCATATTGTAGGCCAGTCCTGGATCAACACCAAACCATGTCTGCTCTACATTCAACAGGGCCTCCTATTGTCAGGTCCTTTTTCACCACTTGTCAATATATTTGCTTCCCAAGGTTTTCCAATGCATATAAGATTGTATAGTAGTAGTGCTAGTAGTAGTAGTAGTAGTAGTAGTAGTAGTAGTAGTAGTAGTAGTAGTAGTAGTAGTAGTAGTAGTAGTACACAGCAAAAAGTAAAGTGTTAAAACTGACTCTCATGGAATCAATTTTAAGATTTTCTCAGGGTTTATATGAGTCAAATCTGCTCGAGAGTTTATTTAACATTTTTGGAAACTTGAATTAAGTAACACTGGATAAAACTTCCTGTTTAACCCCAAAAGAGTTATATTAACCTTTTGAGAGTAAACGGATATGTTTTATTTATTTTTATTTTTAGACTTTATGTTAGTTAATTTAAGATGAAATTATGTACAAAATTGGTTCAAACTGGTCTTCTCTCGCCGGAGTTTGAAGTGGTGGTAGAGAGATGCCAAATTAACACTAAGGGAAGTTAAATGAACGAGTGGAATTCAGTGAACATTAGTGGAAGTTGAATGAACACTGGTGGTCGAACTTCCATTTAGCTTTCAGATAGTTAAAATAACAATGTTGTGTTAAAAACAACTCTGAAATATTTTAACCTGAAATTTTAACCCTCCACTTTTTGCTGTGTAGTAGTAGTAGTAGTAGTAGTAGTAGTAGTAGTAGTAGTAGTAGTTACAACTGTTCATTAAAGGGCCCATATTTTCTGATTTATGTTATAATGTTGTTTCCTCATCGCAAACAGTCCTGGAGTTGTGTTTTGTTTCATTCACACATGTTTTAATACACAAACCCTGCATATTTAAGCTGTGTTCTTCTCTCAAACAGAAAAAACTCCACCTTGTGATGTCACGTGGTAATACAGGAAGTGCACAACTGTGTTTTTAAACTCCACAAAGAATCATTATGATGATTTCAGCCCTAGAATTGCCCATCTCTACTGAACTAAAGGTAAAAGGTAGCTGCTAACTTGAAAACTACATGAAATTACAAGGTGAAACGGAGCATTTTGAGCTTTGGAGATGTAGGCTAACTAATAATAATGTGTTATTCAATCATGTGTGAATGAAACAAAACACAATTCCAGGTATATTTTTGAGGAACACTGAGGAACATGATGAACATTCTGACACATCTTAAATTTTACATAATATGGGACCTTTAAAATGTGCACCATTCTACTTTTTAGATGAAAGGTGAATCACCAGCTTGATTAAACTGGGGAAGCTATGGCTTTGCTGGTAATGTTCCACAGTTTGGCATTAAATTTACGATTACATTTATTCACTTACAGGTATATGTATTCAGAGACACTTGACACACTGCAGACTGCACAAAACCTGCTTTTAAAAAACTTGCAAACCTAATTTTGAAATAGTTCCTTGCATCTTCTGCAAACCTCGCACTTCCTCAAATAGGTCGAATACTCTGGTTTGCAATCACAACCCCTGCATATATACATATAGTATTTTGGATGATCTTTTTGGGCTGTTTGAAAACATCACCGCTGTGAAATCCTTATCCATCAACAAAGAGGCCCTCAGGAGAAGCAGAGGGAGGACAGTGAGATATCTGTGTTAAAAAGCTACAAAAAAGGAGTCCAGCCGAGTCCACATTGATATAGTAACATGTTATAGTCAGAGTAAATACACTGCAAAAATGTAACGTCCAGCCTAGACTTGAATTCACAATGTTAATCTTGATATATTTAATAGATTAGATTTAATTGTTTTTGTAATTGTAGAATATTTCAGTGGTTAGTGGTTGAAAAAAAAGGTAAAATGATCTAGATCCATCAAGAAAAGCAATTAAATATTTATTAGTCAAAAGTATTGGGATTGAAGGTGCACTGAGTGGAGGGTTTTCCGCCTGCTTGTCTCCATGGAGATTTTTGTTTGGAATGTTCCACAGTATGGTATTAAATGTAACTAACTCCATGGACACAAGCAAATAACGCCATCAGGCCAAGCAACAAGTCAGATCTATGGAGAGAGGACCTACCCTGTTTCATCAGCCGGTTTCACTTCATGAAAATCATCTGACCTTGCAGCGTTAGGATTCGTTTGCTCAACAGTAGGTGAGTACTTTTTTTAGTTTAACCAAATGCTGCTATTTGGTCGTGACGTATGTAGTCCATCTCTAACGGGGCTACCTGCTATATTAAGCTTTTCCCAAATCCCGTAGGAAGAATTGCAAGAACGTCAAATTCACCAAACATTCTCTTTGTTCCGGCTGTAACTCTTCGATCTTGGGGATCGTTGCTAACACAGAATGTATGGCTCTTCACTGATTGGCTGGTGCCCGGACTCACACTTCCGGGGTTCTGGTGAACCGTCTAGTGTATTCAGATTCCTGACCTAGTCTCTGGAGAGAAATGAAATTGAGCAGAGGCACTAGGTGGTGGGAGCCTGGCTAGAGAGGACCAAGCTCAAAGTAAGAATTCATGTTTTAGAATTCAAGGGATTTTTAGCAACACCTGTTATTAAGTGAACTGAAACAAATACCCAGTTCCAGTATTTTTTTTTACTTTTCAGTGTGTAGTTGTACCTCTGTTGGAGATGTAGTGTTTGCTGGGGGTGGTGAATCCTCGGCTGCCCTGGCTGTTCACAGCTGCCACTCTGAACTGGTACCAGCGCTGAGACCTGAGGTCAGACACAAGCACGTCCTCTGAGAGGGTCTGAGGGGGAGAACACAAGAGGAAGAAGTCAGGAAACATGTGGACTTTGGGGGGAAAAAAAATAAAAAATTAAAAAATAAAAATAGCATAACAGTATAATTAGCAAAATAGTGTAAGCAAAGTGTAACACTGTATTCACACTCCATGTCTGTGCAATATGTTAGTGGTCCATAACAAAAGAAAATGGCATTCTGTTAATGTTGATACGCTCTCCTATAAACACAAGGGTGTTTCTTTTCAGTGTTTTTAGCTCCTCCAATGAGAAATATATATAGCAATGACTTACCAATGACTTGGAGCAGTGAAACATATTTATTTTTTTCCAGTTGACAGAATTACATTTTCTTTTGCCATTCACTTCATAATCAATGGTGTTCAGTTACTACTGTAGCCACAGCTGCCCTAGTGCAAGCGACGCTGCCAATCTGCTCCATCAGCCCCTCCGATCACCACCGACACACACACCACATTCATACTAGGTGAGTGTGTATCTTGCCAAAGGACACACCAACAAAGCTCAATCACTCAAATTGGTGCATAGGAGCATCAACTGTGAGTATCTGGAATCAGTGAATATAATAATAATAATGAATAGTTTTAATATGTTTTAATCCTTATTCCCTACACACAAAATGAGGGTTTGGGAGCTCTGTCCCTGTAGTTGTAAATCCTGTATAATTGTAAGAATAACACACATCTAACCCAGTCAAATGTATTGGTTTTGACAGTGGGAAACCTGCAGTGATCAGTTTACTTACAGACACATGTTTTTGGATGGAGGGAGAGGTCTGATGTGGTACAGAGAGACCACAGTAATATGAGGACTTCCACAACTGAAAACATTTGAAAAGCCAATGTTAAAAAGCTAAAGTGCTACATAAACATTATTTTTGTACCAAATTTGGGCTGCAAAAGATATTACAAAATGATCATAAAAGCATGATAAGCTAATGTATTATACTTATTTTAACTTAAAGGTCCTATATTACGTGACACTGACTCTTGTGAGCTTTTAGTCATGACAGAATGCTGTTACCTCATCAAAAACATACCTGGAGTTGTATTTTGTTTCATTCATGTTTCAGTAATCCTTTATTATTAGTCTGTTTATCTCCAAAGCTCAAAATGCTCTGTTCAACCTTGTGATGTCATGAAGAGGTGGTTTTCAAGTTAACAGCTCCTTTTACAGTTTGTTCAGCAGAGGTCAGCAATTCCAGGGCTTAGCTTATCCAAATGATTGTTCTGAAGTTGTATGGAGTTTAAAAACACAATGGAGCACTTCCTTTATTACCACATGACAGAAGAACTCAGCCTTAATCTGCAGAGTCTGTGTGTTAAATGTGTTGATGAAACAAAACACAACTCCAGCCATGTTTTTGATGAGGAAACAACATTATAACAGCTCAGAAACTAGCGTAATATGGGCCCTTTAATCATTTATTTTGCAGTGCAGCTCTACTACAAATATTTTACCCATTAATGTGGACGTAGCTCGGAAAATATCCTAGATATTACCCTATCTCCTTGGAATTCAATCTGATAATGATGAAAATTAAGTGTTTTAGCCCCAAGAATTCCTGGAGATTCCCATGTTTTGTCTGTCTGCTGGTGCGAGTGTAATGACCGTCTAAACCCTGTGTAAGACTATAATGAGCACTCAGACTTTCAGAGGCTCCTGTGGTTTCAAAAAATCGCCTTATTTACCTAACCCCACACACAAGCACATGGTGGGTTTCCATGTGTCTTAGGGACGATGCAATCACTTGTATTAGGGCTGCACCAATTTTGGAAAAAAACAATGTGTTTCTTTAGATATCATGATTAAATTAGCAATTTTAGTTTTAAAAATTGGACAGTTCAGTGCATATTGCAAAACATTCCAGGAGCATTAACATTTGAGAGAAGACTGAGGTATGAACTGATAAATTAATATAAGAATCCCATTCATTTCAGAACATGTTTGTAGAAGTATAAACTAGGGCCGGACAACATGGAGCAGAAAATATATCTCAGTATATTTTACTATATCTCAATATATGATATACAGTATATTTTGATATTTGTACAGGAAAAATAACCCCAAAAAGCTACTGCAAAAACAAATATGCCAAATTCACACAAAAAATATGAAGAGTTAGGCAGTTCATGTAGGAACAAACATTTAAAAAATTAAAAAATAAAATGTATACAAAAATAATAATTTCACTGAAAAATAAAAGAAGAAATAATAGATATTGCCTTCTTTTCATTCAAAAATTAAAACAACTCAACTCAAGCTCATCTTTGCATTAACTCTGTTAACCAGACGATAACCAGAACTATAAACTCCTTTAGCAGAGGAAGCTTGGGAGGTTCCTTATTTTAATAGATCCATGTTCCCAATCAGTGGTAAGGAGCTATGAGGTATCCCACAATCCACTGCTCAGATCAAACTAAACTTTCCAAATACTGTTGTACAAGTTCTACACTGCATCAGCTTATTCATTAAAACCTTCTGCATAAATAAACTTTACATAAACCATAACAACTATACATCCACCTCTGCCTGTTTGAGATTATCATGTGTTTAATGCAGCTTTGCACACATTTGTTTACGTTTTACAGAAACACAACTTAAAACCACAAGGCTCATTTGCATAAACTATAAGCCTGAAAAAAACAGCTCCCTCTTTGTGCTGGGTGAGCAGAAGCACACATAGAGAAGGCAAACAAGTAAAGTGGCGAAACCAAAATTAAATATAAGCATTATATTGATATATACGATATGTCAGAATCCATTTCATGTTTAAAAAATATCTGGATATTTTTTAAATACTGACATACCGCCCACTCCAGTAACAAGACTTTTCTATTAAAAACAGGATATGCAGGATATGTTATAACAGATCTTGCAAAAGGTGTCAGATATGAATAAGTTTGAAAACTCATGGACTCCATACAATATTACTGTTAATCACTTTTGATCTCTTTCATATCATATTTATTGTGAACTGAATGTGTCATTAAGTGCTTTTTTAACTAATGCTCAAATAATTAAATAAATAATACAATTAAAAAATAATTACCCAAATTAAATTTTGAATATATTGTGTGCAGCCTGATTGATCCTACCCTAAACTTAACCCTAACCCTAACCTTAACCTATTTTAACACTTATCTAAAAGGTGCATTTTGTTACTTTTTCAAAACTTCTCCATAAGGAAAAATCTTCATCCATCAAGTCTAAAGACAAGCAGGTGAAGCAACTAGGCCAAGTTACAGATCTGATCTGTGGAGAGGTGAGTCTGCTCCATATAAGCAGACTCACCTCTACAAAAAAAAAAAAAAAAAAGGCTATATAATTCTCAAACAAAAAATATCAAGTTCACAACAGCATTCTGTTAACAGTAAAACAGTGTAGTTAAGTCAGTTTTGACAATTTAGTTTATTTATATTTATTTATTTTATTTATTTAAAGAGACAGGGACAGCGCACAATTTTTGCATTAACCTTAACAGGAGAGATGCATTGTACCAGGTTGTAGCACCAGTGCTAATTTCCACCTGTCGTCCCTGGTCAGGTTCATTGATTGACTGTATTTAACTGACCTTGGCTCTCAACTGTTCTTCCTGGAAAGTATGTAGCATGTTTTGGATTGATGGTGGAAACCCATCCAGACACAGGGAGAAACATGCAAACTCCACACAGAAAGGCCCGGGCGACCCCTTCTATCTATCTATTATATAATTTTATAATGTTGTTTTCTCATCACAAACAGACCTGGACTTGTGTTTGTTTCATTCACACATGTTTAACACACAAACCCTACTGAAGCTGAGTTCTTCTCTTAAACAGAAAACACTCTGTTCCACCTTGTGATGTCATGGAAGTGCTCGGCTGTGTTTTTTTTAACCTAGATACACCTTCACTCGAGTCATTTGGATGATTTCAGCACATTACAAGGTGGAACAGAGCATTCTGAGCTTCGGAGATGACAGACTAATTATAAAAGGTTACTCCAGTCCAAATGTGTGAATGAAACAAAACACAAGTCCAGGTATGTTTTTATGAGGTAACAACATTCGAACATGACTAAAAGCTCACAAGAATCCATTTTGTGTAATACAGGACACACACATAGAGCCTGAGTGGTTTCTCCTGGCAGGACAGGAGTTTGGACGGGACCTCTCTTTAAGACGGATGAGGTGGAAATAAGGTCTCCCATCCATCTCCACAGCTGAGCACTTTCATCATTCAGACTAATGGAGAGTTATGGAGTATAAAATGTGCTACAGGCTTGTGCTGGTCTATAACTGTTAGAAAACTGGGAACTGTTTTAGCAGCTCCATTGACTTTCGTAATGTAATATGCTCATTACACTTACACATTGAAGCTGTCTGAAGTTATAGAATCAAAAGGTGTCTCAAAGTCCAAAGCCTAACTGGTAATGATTCATAAGATAATGATATTTAATAAAATTCTATTGGGGAAGAGATAAAAAGAAAAAAGGAAAGAACTAAATCAAAGTATACATGCTTTGTTTGAAGTTGAAGGATTTAGAGTAATTAAATACAATTACAAATTAACTGTTCTTAATTGGTAACCTACAGACTGACAGGGTGGTGGTTCAACCCCCACTCCTGCTCCTGTTGTGTCCTTGAGCAAGACACTATGCCAAAGTGAGTATGAGTGCCTAAGTGTACAAATCTGTGTATGGATGAATGGTCCCTTAGATAGAAAATGCTATATACATTTGACTAATTATTTATTTTAGTATATTATTATTTTTATCGTATTAGTGTAATGATACTACAGTTTAAAATTCATTGTCTTGATACCATTGATTTTGAAACCACTATGAAAAAAAACTTTTCTTGACCAATAAAATCTTTAACATAAAATAGTAGTTTCCTTTACACTACCATGTGATCGTTAGTATTGTTTCATGGCAGTTCGATCCCCACTTCTGCTCCTGTTGTGTCCTTGAGCAAGACACTATGCCAAAGTGCCTGCATACACTGGTGTATGAATGTGTGTGAATGGATGAGTGCACAATAGAGATTGAAAATGCTATACAAATAGCAACTTACTGAATATTTAGAGTTTGATATAACAACAGGAAAAGCAATCCATGATAAAATAAATAATAATATGCATTTTCAACTCAGATTACACATGTGATTATTATGTGATTTCATAATAGTTCAGATATAGATCAAAATGTCTTATTTATTTGATTTTAATCAGCATTCCCAATACCTAATTTAGTATACTAATTAGAATCTAATAGGGGTGGGACGAGATACAATTTCCACAAGACAAGACGAGACACGAGACTGGATCTACAAGAATGAGACAAGATGAGATTTTGACATTGTTTAGGCTATAATAAATCCATTGAGCAATTCAGTTCCCAACTTCAGCTTCACTATTTTTGATTTACTTTAATATTTCTGCAGTCATTGTAGCTGTGCTTTTTTGTACTACACATTCTCAAAAAACTCTTTTTAATCCAAACGTAAAACATGAGGAAAAAATCTCACAAGATCATTTTCCTCATGTGTTCACAATCTAATGGCAATTCTGTCTCGTGAGATCTTGTAACATGCGATCTTGTCCCATGTTTACATTCTATAAAGCAACTCCATGTATTAGGACTTAGGAAGTACTATTATTAAGTGCAGTAGAAACTAAGAAATATTTCCAAATCTACATAAAATATTTCACTGTTAAAAATACTACACTTTCACCCTTGACAATATGTATTTCCCTTTCAGTTACACTCTCACTTCAGCCTTAACATAACTGTCATGACAGACAAACACGATCATTTTCTCAGAGCCTTAAATTACCACGGTCCAGTATTTAAACGAAATGACTGTGATTACTGGTTACCATGGTGACGGTGGTCCACGGAGAGGCGTGGTCTTCGCTGGGGTGGATCCCGGGGTTCCATCGGGACTGAAGGACGTAGACCACAGGCTCCACACTCACGTTGAACTTTGACACCCAGATCACCCTGACCCGGCCCTCCAAATCCTCCACGAAGCTCATCTCTCTGCGTGGCTTCAGAGGGACACCTGTAGGGGGCGCCACAAGGAGATGTCAGGTTATAAGAGTGGCTTATAGGTTGGAAATTACAGTAGTTTAATGCCATGCTGTGGACAATTTAAATCAAAGCATTAACATCTCCATGGACATAAACAGGTTGTGGACTCTCTCCAGAAAAGTTACGCAGTGCGCCTTTAATGCTGTGTATAAAACCAAATCCCAGGTTTATATGAGAAAGGAGAGTGTTACCCTTGTAGAGATTGGCAGGGAGCTGGCAGGTGTGGCCACAGCCGTTGGAGCAGCACTTCCTGGGGACGGGGCAGTGCAGGTCAGAGGAGCAGCTCTCCACACACGCTGCTGCGAAGCCTGAGGCCTTCTGAGGAGCCGGACAATCCCCCTGGCGAGAACTACGAAGGGAGACCACAAACTCACGGCTGGTCACGCATTCTGTCTGCTTCTGCAAAGAAGAAGAACAAAAACATAAATAATAGAGAAATAGGATAGTACAGGTGTATGAGCACTTTTACTGAGTTATAATGTTATTTGATGGAAACACTGCTGTCAATCATTAACACCACTTTTTTGTGACATGTTTTGCCCAAAGACACAACAACAAGCACTGGTCAGAATATGTAGCTTTTTGGCTATCAAATTCGATAAATATTGTAACCATAAAAATTATTGACAACATTTAGGAAACATTTTTGTATTTTGATATAATTCAGCATGATAAGCTGTTAGCAAATCATGATATTTAAAGGTACATTGCGTACATTTTCTGTTAAAGGGTCAGTGGAATGCTTGTCTCCATGGAGATGTTATTGCTTTGTCTGTTGTTGTTGAATGTTTCACAGTATGGCATTAAATGTTTCCATCATCATGGAGTCCAAACAAGCCAAGTTACAGGTCAGATCTGTGGAGTCAGAATGCCTGTTTTTCTAGGTATTTTTAGGCTATAAAACCACTTGTAATTGAATAAATGTAAGGTAGAGCTGTGCAATGTCATACTGTGGAACATTCCAGGCATTCTGTTGCTATCAAATGCTCAGTATATAATATTTATAACACCTCATATTTAGTTTTCTATGCAGTGTTACGACAAAGCCAGGTCTAAAGCTGGTCTAAATGTATTTCAAATCTTTGAAAAAAAGACAATTAAACTAGCTGTAAAAAAGACATTAAACAGTATAAGAAATAACTAACTTAGGGGTGGGACGAGATACAATTTCCACGAGAAGAGACAATTTTGTTTGACATTTTGTTGATTTTAACCATCCTATCTCTTCCTTAAGATATATTGGCATTGAACGTGTGGAACTGCCCCCTAGAGGTGGTAATCTAGAGATGCTCCTGTCTAAAAGAGAGCACTTCTGGATTCACCATCTTAAAACTCTTACTCCTCATGGACTGAATGTGGAGTTTGATTTAAGATGTTTTTTTGTGATAGACAAACTATTTCTGTATTTTATAAAATGTTTTTTTTTATGTGAACTGTTGTTTCTTGTTGAATGGGCTGAACTCACTGGGTGACCTCACTTTGGGACCTCCCATTCATTGAGTGGGTATATGGGCACCTGGGCTGGCAACCATTTTGTGTGCTGTGGTCCAAGACAAGAGGCTTTTTTTGCCGAAACGTTATTTTGTTAATAAAATAGTATTTGGACATCGGCCAACTGAGTGTGCTATGCATTTTTTCACCCTGATCTGGCTACTCCTTGCATTTGCACCTCTGCAGGAATCTTGGTGTGCGTTTTCTGTTTCTTTTTACACGAGAAGAGACAAGACACAAGACTGGATCTATGAGAATGAGACATTATTTTGGCTATAATAAATAGATTGTGCAATTCAGTTCCCAATTTTAGCCTCACCATTTTTGATTTACTTAATTTACTTTAATTCTTATGCTGTCATTGTAGCTCTGCTTTCTGGGACGAGGCATTCTCAAAAAAATTACTTTTTTTTAAATCATGAGGAAAAAATCTCACAAGAAGATGTGTGCACAATTTTGGCAATTTTGTCTCACGAGATTTTGTGGCACGATATCTTGTCCCATTCCTACTAACTCTTGGAGACATTGCATACCACAGTTTGAGAACCAGAGTTTACGTGACCTCCTCAAAAGCACCATGAAAGCCACTGTACTCTGATGAAACATTTCCTATGGCTAAACTTTACCCTGGCATTGAAAAGCTGACCTATATTTGAATGAAACGTTGTATATTTTCTTGTGCGTGGCTTCACAAACACGATCTTAACCAAAGAGCTCGGGGCTGCAGTGTTTTGCTAGACTTCCAGGCACTGAGCCATTGAGCCTGTAGCATGCCTCAGCTATTGTGATGAAAAACGAATCTGTCCCACAACCACATTACGGCTTTTTAACACTCATTTAAGGCCACACGCAAATACAAACGCACACACGCAGACATAAACACATACGCATGTACACACAGACCCATACTCACACACACACACACACACACACGTACTCATACACACCAAATATAGAGCCCCATTAATAGATTGACAATTGATACTTTGCAGTGACATCGTGCTGGGAGTGTTCTACATGCTTCTCTATGGTGGAATGTTCACCAGTTGCCAAGACAGACAATGTATACATAAGCAAACACATCCAAAAATGATTTAAGATCATCTGAAAACTCCAAAAAAATACATACAAACTGGATTTAAACAGCACATTTTCAGGAGCCTGTGATCAGTACGAGTGTTTATGGTCCAGACTAACTGAAAAACAGTTCAGCCAGCTTGTGACTGTAATGTTATTTGAGGCTACGTTTACATGATGACGGTCTAAACAGAAGACGCAAAAGTGATATCGCGTCTTCACTTTTTAATCCGCGTTTAGACGATCGTTTTCAGGAGGAAATCTGCATGCATACGGTGACGCAAAAGTGTGTGGAAGCTGATTGTGTATGCATGTCAGGCGGCTAGGTGGTGATGCCAAGTGGTGATGTATGTGACGTAAATGTGTATATGACGTGAGCAGATCTGACCAGAGTTTTGCATCTTGAGTCTTGAGAAGCGTTACGGCGGGTGGTTTCAGATTTTTGCATTTTTTAGCCCCAAAAACACCATCACTGTCTCAACGAAAGGCACTTCTGATAAAATATTTTGTTGTTTTTACCCGCAAGCGTTCTCATGTAGACAGGCCCTGAGAGCGGACTTGTTTAACATATAGACTGTATGAAGAAGTGGACTAAGCAAGTGTGACGTCACCCATAGCGTTCAGCTCTACTCAAAGTTATAGGAGCGAATCTGGAGCCAGGCTTCATATTTGGAAACCGCGAGTATCAAAGCAACCACAAGAGAAAATCATTACTGAGGTCGTTAAATGTGGGAAGAGGCTTTACTTGCACTAAATGCACTAGCTGTCTGATTGGTCTGTTATTTATGTCCATATCTTGATTTATGAACAAAATAGTGACATGAAAAATTCAGGATCATGTAGAGCGGGTGAATACAAACATTTCAAAACCAAAATGACGAGGCTCACAGCACCAGAGAGAGGAGCCACAAGATCCCAGTGTAAGTCAACAGGAGCCTGGGTCAAAAGGAGCTGGAACTGCCCCCTGGCACACTTCCTATTGGGAACGGGGCGGCTAATGTGTTAGCCATGTCCATCCATATATACGGTCTATGGTTCACCGACAGGGATGTTGGAGTTGGACAGTCACAGAAATATCGTGATATCATCAAAGTTCTCACAATAATCTCGTGGACCATCACAATATATCGAATTACAAGTCTCTTTGCTTCAATGAAGAGTTATGGTGCAGCAACAGCTAAAAAAAAGACAGAGGGAACTACATAGACCATGATCCTTTGCTCCATTTTAGTGTAGACTACAAGACGAAATAACAGTTTTAAGCACTTTTAAATCTTACTTCTTTGGATTAAGTTTTGTCAAGGCATTTTAAGAGGCAAAAGTTGCATATTCTATTTTGTTAACCTCCACAAAATATCACAATAAATATCGTACTGTGAGATGTATATCGTGAAAATATCGTGCTGTGAGATTTGGATATCATTAGACCTCTATTCACCTCACCTGGTGTAGATTCAACTAAGTCAGTTCTTTTTGACCAGATTGTGTTAAAACAAATCTAGATTAAAGAGTAACAGAGCTTTAGACAGAGCAGTGCCCATAGCTAGCATCACACTCCCAGGGTGTTGCTGTCCAATGTTGAGGACATAAGGTTGCAAAGTATCAACAGAGCACCAGTTTAGGAATATAAGTAACTGCTATTTTTCTGACAAACCTTGCACTTGCGATCAGATTTCTACTGTATATTTTAATTTAAAGATGGCTTATGTAACTTTTTCTAGTGGAGGGTCTGCACCTGCTTGTCTCCATGGAGGTGTTATTGCTTTAGTTAGAATGTTCTGCAATACGACATTAAACTCATTTATCTCCATAGAAATAATAAGTAACCACAACTCAAATGGATTCACACATTAAAAATATAAATCCGTATCTCTTACCTCACAGGACTTTGCAGACAGCACTTTCCTGGTTTCCCATAATTCCTTGCATGGCTGGAGGCACTGCACAGAAACACAGGCAGCATTTAAATGTAAAACACACGTCAATATGGAATGACTGAGTATGTTTTGTATTCCAGATCACTTCCTCCTGAATAATTACAGACATGATGCAAACAGGAAATAAGGACAAGGAAGCGTTATCAAAACCACATTTCAAATACAGTGGCCATGAGCAGAACCCTGAATACTGACATAGATTCATTCATTCATTATCATTTCCCTTGTAGTGTTATGTTTTTTGCTGTAAATATGAAAAAATAGCATAAATAAGAAAATGTGAGAGAGGGATGGTGGTGGTCAGGGAGGACATTGGTGCAAACTGACAGCCATGTCTTTGTCAGTCAGCCCCAAGGCAGCTGTGACCAGTACAGTTGTAACCTATCACCACCGATTCTGGGGTGTGACTGAATGATTAAAAAAAAAAAAAAAATGCTGTAAGACAAATTAGTTTATTGTTGTTTCTCATTACAGCTTTCTCAGTGTTGTATTTTGAGAGACAATGAGAAAAAATATCTGAAAAACGTTTGCAATTTGTTCATATCTTTGCCCATCTTTCTTTTTAAAATTCAGTCATACACAGAATTTATCAATGCAAAGTGAAATGTCAAAGTTCTGTCACCTTAAAAAGTAAGCAAATTGACCGGTTTTAGATCAATATTATGGTTTATAACGAACAAAATGTGAAATAGTGATATAAGTATGTTATAGTTAAAGACTAAAATAGACTCTGAAAATCATTTTTAGCTCACCATGACAGTTTCCAATAAACAAAATTAAAATAATGATCTACATGTGTGATTTTCCTCACTAAATACTCAAAAAAGGATAATATGTCTCTAAAATGCTGAATTTGCTTTTCTATAATTTATGACTCTGTTCTTCATGTTCTTTCTTCATTTCTTTTGTTCAGACAACATCCTCACACGGCCAAACCCATAAAGTCTGTTTGCACTATCTCATATCCACGACTGCAGCCCAGGTTTGTCTTGCATTTGTTTTTCTTCTTAAAATTTTGACTCTCAACAATGTTGCATTGCCTTTTTTCCAAAATCCACTGCTTCCTGCTGTGAAATGTGTCCATCAGTTCTGCAGTTTCAAACAGGAAGATGATGGACCTGGTTCTAGTTTCTATTAAGTTGGATTAGATTGATATTGCGCGCTCATAATGAAGTGAGATGTTATAGTTTTCTTACTAAACTAAAAAAACAGATGTCCTCCTTAAAAGCACTGTACCTGATTTTTTCTGTCTTAAAACATGACAAAGAACACCCTAATTATTCACCAGGATGAGTTTGTAAGTGCTTTTCACCACTCTCAGAGACCAGAGTTTTGTCTCTGTAAAGTATTTACTGTTTATTGAACGATAAAACACTTTATATTTAGATCCACACAATACACAGTCATTTATTTTGACCTCAAGATCTGCTTATACAATAGGGCTGAATGATTTATTGTTTTGGACTGAAAATCTCGATCTCAGACAACACGATTTTGGGAGCATCAAAACTGTGTGTTTTTGCAATGCTCCTAAAGCCCAATTTAAAGGCGAAGTTTAGTTCTGCACTGACTCAACACACACTGCCGCCCTCGCCTTGTTGCCGTCGTTTTTGATTTATAGATCTGCATTTAAGTCTATGTGTCACGAAGTAATTCACAAGGGTGTAGGTTTGCATAGGGACAGTGTGGACAAGTCACAACCAATATTTAAGGAAGACAAAATAGTCCCTACCAACATTTGCCATTTTATTTATACAAAAACATAAATTTATTCTGATATTTTTCCAAACTCAGTCAATTTAACACGTTTTAGTTTACATTTTGTTTATTAGACATTCTGAGATGTATTCAGTGATATGACGACAGGTTACTCCTGCCACTGTTTCATTGGCTGCAACAGAGTGATGTCATTACTGGTGCTAGGAGCCTAAACTGGGAAAGCGTCAGGACAGGGCCAGCACCTGAAGATGGCGGTTTGAGCAGCGTGAATGAAGACGCTGCACCGAACTTAGAAAAACATTTCAAAAGGAACTTACTTGGCTTCATCTTCAATTAAACTTGTCTTATAATGAGACGCCGTGGAAAAAGAGCGACTGTCGCCACAAGTGCACCTTCCAAACACAGCCCTACTCGTGCACTGTTAGCAGCCCGACTCTATTGAATATTCCATGGAAAAATGTATGGACATAACCTCACAAATATCTCATCACCAACAAGCAAAGGGAAATCTACTACTATGCCGATAATGTCCCCACCAAAGCTGAGATCAAACCTATGCCCTTGGTAATTCATTGCCACAATGCTAGTAGGATAGGATTTAACCCTGGTGTTTGTGTAAAGTTTAATATGAACCATCTCCAACGCAATAGAAGCACAGAACAGACTCATCATCATCAGCACATCTTCTGTCACAGAAAGAACACTCATATTCCACTGATTTGTGTCCTTTAGTCCGACAGAAGCTGAACCACATCAGCAGCACAAGGAGCGAGCCGTTTTTTTCAGCACTTATAGTTTATGCAAACGAGCCATATGGTTTTAAGTTTCATTTCTGTAAAAGGTAAACAAATGTGAGGAAAGCTGCATTAAACACATTATTATTCAATGGTGTGATGTAAGTTTCTGTGATGTCTACAAATGTTCATGTGCACTGACAGTTAACTTGAAAAAGATCGTGGATGAAATCAAAATGGCAATATTTCCCCAAAAAAATCGCAATTCAGTTTTTTCTTAAACTCGTTCAGCTCTATTATACAATATATCTGCAGTAAGGCAAGACATATTTCGCTCAGATAAGTGGAAAATATCAGGTACAGGCACTTAAAGCTGTTTTAGCTCAACATGACAGTAAACAAAGCTACAATAATAGTCTACAGGTGTGGTTTTCCTTACTAAATACCAAAAAGAAGGATAACATGTCTTCAAAAACGCTGAATCTGCTTTTGTGTAATTCTCGGCAGTGTTCTTCGTGTTCCTTTGCTCAGACATCTTTACACTGCCAAATCCAGCTCCACAGGTCTGCTGCAGTCATCTGGTCCACCACCTCCTCTGTGAACCGTGCACTGATGCTTCTTACCAAATCCGAAACAGACTTCATATAAAAACTGTGGTTCACCTTGACCCTCTCCTCCTCTCCCTCCTCCCTCTCTCCTTCTCTCTTTCTCTCTTTCTCCGTCTGCTGCAACCCTTCATCACATGGCTTCAATCAATCTCACAATTCATTCCACATTTCCAGCTTCAGCCGGACATCGAATCAACAAAAGACTTAAAAACACATCAAATAAAAAGCTACCGGGGATGTATTGTCAATTCCTAATAGTGTTTTTGATAAGCTTATTGTATGGGCTGATGACAATGGACATGCTTTCACATCTGGTTCAAATACCATCACTGAACGCTAAGTTTTAGGAGCTTGATTTTGACAGATTGGAGAAATATTTCGTCCGACAGAGACTTATGGCGTCTCAGAGTACGGATAATGCGTTGTCAGCGGGGAGCGTGATGGCCAGTTAATGTTAGAAAATTGCTTCATTTCTTTTTAAGTCATGGAAATACAGGCTCAAGTGATCCTCCACCCAAATTCCATCCCCCAAGAGGAGAGTTAAACTTATGTCTTCTTCGTAATGAACACGATCTGGTTAGATAACAGTGCAAAGAGGATTAGGAGGGGTTTTATAGTTCATGGGTAAATGCTACAGCTATTAAAATGTTCTAGATGTACAACGTAACTCAAAATGCAATCTGAAAAGCAGACCTACGTTAAAGGTGCACTATGTAGCTTCTTGGTTGGGGGTCCGTCACCTGCTTGTTTCTGTGGAGATGTCATTGCTCTGTCTGGAATGTTCCACAGAATGCCATTAAGCAGCTCTATTTTTATTCAGTTACAGGTGGTTTTATAGCTCAAAAATACCTACAAAAAGGCATTCTGGCTGTGAGCGTAGTTGCCTCTCCACAGATCTGACCTGTAACTACATACCATACCACTGTGAAACATTCCCGACAAAACAATAACATCACCATGGAGAAAAGTATTTGATGGACCCTCCATCAGAAAAGCTGCACAATGTACCTTTAAGAACCCAGAGCAATCTAGGTGTGTGCAAAAATATCAAAATACCGATATATCATATCGTTTAATGTGATGATACAGTATTGATGTCATGGGCTGCTGTATCGATATATCACCAAGAGTATTTTTGGTATATTTTACTCAATTATTTTGCTACAGCGCTACCGTTTTGTTGCTTGTTTAGAGGAAGCAAACTCGTTTATGCGACACATTTGACATATTCACTGTTTTGATTATTTAAATGTTTGTGTTTCATATTCATCTTGCACAAGAAGTAGTTTAAAAAAGACTTTGCCTTTTTTTATTAAACAATATTGAATCATTTTGATATATATTGTATCAAATTGAAAGTGCACTGTACTGAGATATGTATCACATCGGCAACTTCTTAATCATACCCAGCCCTGGACCAACCGATAGCTGATGAGCTCTGCCAATATTTTTGAGCCGATAGATAGAGCTGATTTTGATTATTTTCCTCAAATTATGCCATTTAAATTTACTAAAAACTTACCACTTTTTTTTTTACCACAAACCTTTAAGAGAGCTGTGTATCACATTTTATCTTTTTGTATTATACAGTAGTGTTAATTTAAAGCTTTGTGTGTACTTTTAAGCAGCAGATCAAACAAAATATTGACCTAAGGTGATTTAAGGCCAATAGCCAATACGCTAAAAAGTCCAAATTTCAACCTCATATATTACTCTATCTCTTATGAAAAACACAATCCAGCTGTCAGTCACATCCATCTAAACTCAGGGAGATACAACCAGTGTCCAGACTCACATCTTTGTTAAAGGTGCATTGTGTAACTTTCCTGGTGGACGGTCCATCACCTGCTTGTTTCAATGAATATGTCATTGCTCTGCCTGGAATGTTCCACAGTATGACATTAAACAGCTCCACCTTACATTTATCAATTACAGGTGATTT